AACTTAGCCTGAATATAAAAGAAAACCTAAGAGTTAAAGGTTGGTTGGCTAGCTTAACAAAGTGAAAGATAAGGAGATATATAGATGAATATAGTAGATATATAAGAGCCCTTCTAATTACCCTTTTAAAAAATCAATACTTAGGTCATGTTTAGGAGTGCTGAAGTTAAAAATAAGTGTTTTTTGAATAAGTGTTTATTTAAATAAGCATTTTTTTTTTGTATTTTCATAAAGTGTTTCAATAAAAGTACTTTTATAAAATTCAATTAGGAATAATTTTATAAGTGGTATTTTAAAATTCAACTAGGGATAATTTTGAAAGAAAAATTTGAATAAGTATTTATTGTATAAGCACTTAAAAAAAACTAAAAATTTGGGCTTAAAAAATAAGTTCTTATTTTTAAAATAAGCACTTATTCCCGGCTTATTTTCCAAATACCAATAAGTGTTTAATGATCCAAATAAACACATATTTTAAATAAGTACTCCCAAACATGAATTAAGATTTAACACATGTCTATAATCCTTTTCTTCTCTTATCTTTCTGTTTCTTCTTCTCTTATTGGATGCATAAATGCTCCCCCACATGACCAAGGTCGAAAAATTAGAAACACAGTACAATTTATTCCCATTGTACAGGCAGCAGGGAACTCATAATTCGCTCTAAAGATTAATTATGCCATGAATATTCCAACATTAAGAGAAAAGTTACAAGGATGGACGTTATTAAAGCACCACATTAATCTATGATTATCGTCACTAATCCTTATCTCCTAACTAACTACCAATCTTTCTATCTAATTTATTAGTTTATATATATTTTCTGCTGTGACCTCACTGATCATGCTTTTATAATCTTAACATATACACAATGTTTAGAGGATCAAGACAAAGGCTAATATAATAACAATGATTAGAAATTAATTCTCATAAGCAAGCATGGCCACATGAATTAAAGCAACTGGCTTTAATTTATGTAAATTAAAGCTGCTTGAAGTACAGCAAGGTTGAATAAACAAGTGAAGACACTCTGTGTTGATTGCCTGAGCTTGAATAGTATACAATTCTGGATTCAATCATACAAAATAAACAACTATTAAGGTAACGTGGGGAGGAATTATTCGTGTTGGGCTCTGTATTTTATCTTGCTTGAGCCTTGAGGAGCTCTACTAAGCATTAAAGGCATTTTCTTTGGCGAATGGGTATCCTGGACCACCAAACAGAACCCTAGATTTCAGCTCTACTAAGGTTTGGTGAGGTCACATGGAAGGTGGGTTGCAAGGAAACAGTTGACTGTGAGATCTGCATTTCGTCATGCTCTGATGCTGACGTGTCGGCTCGAGATTGGAGGGTTGTGGATGCACATGTCATGCTGGGGGTATTGACATGGTAGGCATAGAATCCTGTGACTCACTATACGTCATGGTGTGGATTGGGTGTCCCTTTAAACGTTTGTCCTCCATTACTGCTACATATTTGGAATTTCTTATACCAGATGTATCATCATTCATCAGTCATCACTATATATATATTATATTGCTTTTATGGATAACTAGTTGGGTTGGGTTAGTGACCTTTAAGACTCATCCATTGAAGTAGTTTTTGTATTGAGGTGCTCACAGCTTTTAAAGGTCAACCCGGCTAGCTGTTGATTGGTTCAACTCATGGTTCAAACTTGAAAATATCAATATGTATCGTAACGTGTTGTACCATAAATATCGGTTTTCAGGGTCACCAAAATGATATATATTTTAATGGGAATTAAGCAGATGTGATGTTTAAATTGTGCATTAATGGTTGCAAGTTGGAAATTGATTGAAATTAAGGCTCAGTTTGGGTATAAATATAAATATATGTACAGTATAAATGCATACAAAATAATATAAAATATAACGTACATATTTGTATTTTCGAACTGACCATTTTAACCTAAAAAAATGGGTTTGATACTAATTTCAGTATTGAATGTATCAATACCTTGAACACTGGTTCAACCCAATTAAACCCAGCGGGGTGGTGGAATGACTAAATGACCCGGATAAATAGCTTGTCAAAATATTAGAAAAAAATGCTGGGCCAGTTTGGAATGAACAAGTATACAAAGTGGGAAGGGTTGTCTCTCTACTTTTGCTCAAAATAGGGTTTTTTACTTTTTTTTTTCCATATCTGCCTCCATGTTCTATTTTTTGTCAAATGGCACTATCATTTAAAAAAGGGGTTATTGGTCCATAAGTATGATTTTGCTTTTTAAAGTAAAAACATTGCCATGTCAGCACCAATTATTTCTTCTTTTGAAAAACAAAACAATACATATTAATAAATGCCCTGTAGGTTGTGTTTGGAAACGATGCAAATGGGGTGTAAATCCCGGTTCAGGGTAAATTTGCATTCTGGTTCACTTTTGCCTATATTTGACAACATTGCATTTATGCATTAACAAATGACAGACCAATGCATATTTACATTGATAATAAGATGTAAAAGTACATCAATAAAAAAGAAGTAAATTTGCATTCAAGTGGACTTTTGATAAAAAAAACATATGCTTTATTGGAATTCATGCTTGCATCCATTACAGCTAAAAGTCTGTTTGGTAAGAAGGCAAATTTGTTAGTGTAAAACTAACCCAACTTTGTAATTTATATGGACCGTTTTACACTCTACATATTTGCATTCACACTTATTTGCATCATTTCCAAATGCAGCCTTAATGACAAATGGTGCCGGCCCTGATTTTGCCTGCAATTCAATTGGAACAAAAGGTATGTTTTTTAAATTAAAATAATATTTACATTTATTTTTTTAATTCTAAACCCCATTTTTTTTTAAAATAAATAAGCAAAAATAATGAGAAATAAAATCATAATAAATCAATGTTTTAAAAACCAACTTGAACTAAAACCATTTTAGCCACCGATTTTTGGGTCAACAGTTCAACCATTCAGTTTGACCAAACAAGCTCATAATGCTTTAAAAATAAAAATTGACTCAAAAACCATTATATGGCCAAATGGATTGACGATTCAACTATAGGATTAATAGGTTGTTGACCAATTCAACAATTTTTGAGAAAAGTAACAGTTTGAGGCTAAAAACAGGACCAATACCATAGCCGGTTTTCGGGCTGAACGATCTGACTATGATCAATGACGGTTAAAACAATGTAGTTTTAATTTTAAGTTCCGGGCCAAGTGATCCAACCATCCGACCACCAAAATAATGGATGCTATTCTTTTTTTTTAATTTGTTATATTCAAGGATAATTTTGTTACATCATAATTAATATTTTAATTTTAGTTTTTAAATATGCCCTTATATTTTAGGAGGCCCCATTTGGTACTGGTACATCTTTCTTTCTGTGTGATTTTTCAACTGTTTATAAATTGGGCAGACCATAATGCAGTCTTTTTCACTTGCTTCGTATAATCGTTAAAGATCAGTGCGTCGAAGAGATGCGAAAAATTTATTTTGGGCTGATTTCAAGAAATTAATTTAAAATGAAAATTTTCACATCTTTCTCATTTTATTTTCGCACGAAAAAACACAAAAAGACTTACAATAATCCAACAAACTTCAAATTACTCAAATCTAATGCAAAAACCCAGAACTACTAGAAGATCTTTAAAAAAGACCCCCGAAGTTCAAAGGCATGGATCAGGTTTTCACTTTTTTTCAGAACTGTTGCAAAAAATAGGAATGATAAATAGAAATAGAAAGAGGCCAAGCCGAGTAGCCGACAACAACGTTGCTTCAATTGCTTTCACACAGCCGTCTGAACACATGTCAGTCTTGTCACCTCTTTAAAACATTACTTCGGGCGGTTAAGGCGTAGCGTACCAAACACTAGAACGATGACCCGGAAAACCACCTAAAGACATCTGTCACTCCTCTCTACAATTAGGCCCCACAGTGGCTTTTGAGCATTGGATTGGTATCATATGGAGATAGATGATAATGGTAAAACGAGTCCCACCCTTTTCCTGTCCTTTTTATTTTGGTAAAACATTTCCTATCTATTCTCTACGTTTCTTATCGTCGGTGACGTCTATTCTCTACGTTTCATGGGTCATGACTCATGACTCCGGGAACACGACACGTTGCTAAGAGTATGGGTAAAATAGTAATTGTGCTCAATATTCTTTTGACGAAAAAGACATGTAAGGGACTGAGTAGACTGACGTGTCATGCCCAAAAACGTTGGGCTGTTAGCCTTGGCCCCCCCAACAGCTAAAAATTTTCTCCGACTTTGGAGATGGACAAGTAAGCAGTGGGTGTGCGTAATACACATAGACACGCAAGATAGTTTCGTCTGTGAAACAATAAATACGACAGAGATGTCTGAAATCGATGTTCTGTCCCAAAATAGAAGACGGACGCCTATCCAATGGTTCATTTCATCAGTTGGGCTCCCCCACCCCATGGCCCATTGGCCCCATACCGCTCTCCCAAGCCCGTTTTACTTTTGTGCTGCCTAGTGCCTTCAACGCCTTCCACACGACACACGTCTGCCACAATTTTGGCCACAATTTCTCCTGTTTTCAATTTTTTATTTTATTTAGTTTTAAGATTTGAGAAGGAAAGAAGAATCCGAAAGAAAACAGCAGGAAAGTTCTTAGTGGGGGACTTCTGATCAGGGACCAGGGCGGTTGCGGTTGGTCAAATTAATTGGGCTTCACCTTCCCTCCTTGCCCCAACTGTTGACCCAAATAATTCCTACCCAATTTCTTTCTCTGTCTCGTAACTAAAACCACATACATACATACACATACATGCAATGAGTTACACACTTGATGGTTGATTCAAAATTATTTCTAACCTATGGATCAACTGATGAACCCATTGAGCATGTATCATGACATACATACATACCCACATGGGTCACATGCATTAAATATATGATTAATGCATACCTATGTGTGGAGAATTGACCAAGTATTCCTTGAACAATTAGCCGGGTTAGGTATTATTAGTTCAATGAAACAAATAAAGCAGATTTGTAATTGCCAAAATAAACCCTTGAGACTTCTGCAAATTTCATTCTCAGAAAGAACTGGAGAATTGATTGGAAACCCATTTAGACAAAAATTAAAATCAAGAGCCTACAGGGTCCAATCTCCAATCAATGTCTGTCTCTAGCTGTCAGGATAAAGCGGTAATATTTACAAATGGAAGAACAGGAAGACGAAGAACAGAAACAGAGTCCTCCTTCCTTCTCTTTAGACCGAAAGGAACAGTCTTCCTTCTCCTTGGACCGAAAGCAATTAAGAGTTAAGGAAGAAAAAACTACAATTTGAGAGAATAAAACCCAGGACGAATTTTCACAGGAATTAATAGGAGCAGGCCATTCTCTGCAAACGATCTCTGAGGATTCCATTGTACAGAACCATCCGATTTGCAGGCATTCCTTGGGCAACGCTGCGGTTCTCAGACCTGCAAGCTTGATTCAACGTCAACGATTTCCTGCTGTGCTCCCTCCGGAACTCCTCGCTATTCCCAATTGGATCAACTACGTCTTCTGCGAAGTGAACCCTTTTCTTCTTTTTGTCTCGTTTCTTCCCATCTGATTAAACAAACAGCCAGAAAAAAAAAAAAAAGAAACAGAAAACAATCAGGAAGACTAAATCAAGAAATGGAAGGAGAGGAGTCAAAATATCAAAAAACTGGGGAAGACCCACGTACCGGAAGAGATGCAAGACCGTAGAACTGGACGAGTGGAGTCGGAATTCTGAGCAACGGCGAATTGGGTAGTTGGGAGTGGCTTCTGTCGACAGAAGGCCAAGAGGATTACAGTGCCTGATACCGCCATGGCTGTGGCTAAGACTACTCCTTGTGAGCTTAAAATTGGAGACATCATGGAGAAATCAAGAGGAAAACAAAAAAAATAGAACGAAGACGAAGAAGAAGGAGGGGGAAAAGAAAGTTTCAAACACTCAATTACTTGCGAAAACAGAGTTAAATAGCAGTCTGGCTGGGGATAGAAGCAGAAAATATAATAATGTTTTGAAGGAAATAAATGAGCCATGGTTATAATAAGCGTGCTTTAATTTTTTAATTTTGAAAATTAACGTAAGCATCCCGATTCCTCGTCTCATCTGCCCCTATAATTATAAACAGAGCGGTGTCTGCTTTTGCTCGTGCTCTGCACGGCAAGTCGGCAAATCGAAAGGTAATTTGGCTGACGTAACCTTCTTTTTTTTTTGTGAAGAGAAAAGTAAGAGGTAAAATAATGAAAAATAAAATGTCCGTTTTACCCCTGTTATTTTAGAATCCTGTCCATGAAGTATTTCAGTGAACTCACAAATGGTCAAATGTCATTGACTTGAACCAATTGGGCCGGTTCTGGTTCTAGGTTCAGATTGGCTGGTTCTAGTTCTTGATTTATTATCACAATTATTATGGGTTTAAAACCAGTTTTACCTAGTCCTGAATTGATCCAGACCTGATTGGATTAACGGGTTTATTACTTTATTATAATTGGGTCCATTGGAAAAATCCAATTGTTATAAGAACCGATCGATTCAATTCTAGGTTTAAAATTATAGATCCTATCAGGTCTGATTTGATTCCAATTCTATTCAGACCCAAGGTTCAAAGTATCGATACGTATTAGTCCGTATCAGTCGATATATATTGTTTTGGGACCCCTCCGATACATCTCTACAGTGAGTGTATCGGGTCTGACTAGTTCAGGGGGTGGAGGAGCCCTAAACCAGTTGTGAAAAAAATAAAAAAGTAAACACAAAATGCTATATCAATTAGACCGATACGCCCCTATCGATATATCAAACATATCGATATTTTAAACTTTGCCCAGACCTACTCCAGTGACAGCCGTAAGTTTTCTCCTCTCTGTTCAGAGACCAAACACTCTTCTGAATCAAGTATTCAATTGAGGAATATTTAGATTAACTGAACTTGGTCATAATTGATTAGTCTCGAAAGATTATAAAAGATCAAAGCTTTGAATTGAGGGGGGAAATGGTATACTGTCTCTATTGAATGGGCACAGTACTACACAAACAATGAAAGAGACACAGCATTACCTTCTCAGTTTTCACCACTTACCATTCCAAAGGGGATGGCTTTTAAAATGAGGGAGAGTGGGTGAATGGCACTGAGGTCAACGATCCAAATGCAAGAGTTAATTATTATACAAAGGGGTTGGTGGGAATGGGGGTTCTTATAAAACTACAAAGGGTGTTGCTTTTCAGATCTTCTTCTTGGGTTGCCTTCAATTCAGTGCCTTTATCCTAAATTTAGTGTTAGTGCCTTCTGCTACAACCCAATAAAGACCTCCATCTAAGTAAGATCATTTTGTAGGTGATTCTACTTTTAGGTTTATTGTACTTAATGGCCCATTTTGATTGGTGTGTATACTAATGGCAGTTCTCAATTCTGCTTAAGGGTTCATTGTTTGCATTGAATGGAGGCCTGAGGTCTGAAAAACAAGGATACTTTTCACACATCCCAGATCATTTGGTGCAACATTTGAGTTTGGACTCGTGATTTTAGAGACTTCTCTTAGGTTTTGTGGATATAGGGATTTGGAATCAGAATTAGAATGGATCATTCCAATTCTAATTGTTTAGTTGGACAGAATCAAAATGCTTTCCATTCATGGTAGAATAACATTTCCCATTTGAGAGAATATATAGCTATTCCCTACCCATGCCTTGGGAATGAAATCCCATTCTAATTGAAATTCTCATTCTGGTTTCCATCTGAACCAAACAAATTAAGAGAATAAATCATTCCAATTTCAATAATGACAGAGTTTGATCCCAATTTTGACTATGAACCAAATAGACCTTTAGTGGCTTAGAGGTCCATCCAAAATGATCTCATTCTATGAAAGAAATGCCCATGTTTTTTATTTTTGCCTAGAGCCCTCTCCCTGTCACACTACCATCTTATTTCTTTTACTTCTCTCTGTTTGGTGGAGTTAGTGCCACTACTAATAAACCATTTTCTTCCTATTTTTCCCTTTTGTTTTTCTCTTTATGAATAAAAAACCCTCATAAATTCATAGGGTAAATATACAAAAAACAAATTCTTTTCAGATAATACTGCATTTAGATATTCAAGCAATTCAATTTTATTTAATGTATAGGAAAAAAAATACATTGACTATAACCTACAACCATACCTCAATCTTTTCTTGCTTTCTCAAATATCAGAATTCAATTTCATCACCGAATGCCACCTAAGTGCTATGTACTTGTGGCATGGCTAGAACCCAAATTGTCATGACTCATGACTTTATTTGGACCGGTAACCTGAACCATGTCTGCAGTAAAACTTTTCAAATTTTCTGATTGAGTGAGAAAAGAACCAAAAAGTGGTGAAAAAAAGGTAAAAATTTGATAAGAGTCTTCCAGCGGACTGTATGGCTTAGTTGAAAGGAGTATAAATACAAATATATATAATATAAATACATATAAAATAATATAAAATATAATGTTTTATACTCTTATAAATTTATATTTGTACTCCTTCCAAACTGAGCCTAAACAAAAAAATATCTGGTATAGACTATATCATTGACAATATTTCCTGTTTATGATGAAAACTGAAAAGGATATATCAGGCCAGAAGTCGAAACAAGAATAAAAACAATCCCGAAAATTAACAAGGAACACACTATTAGGAGTGTATCAGCATTTAGCCCCTTGTGACATCACATCAATGTAATTATGGTTTGCAATCCTTTGTGCTGCACGTATGACATATATGTGGAGAATAGACAGGCAAAGAAATCTTGTCCCAATTCCTACCTGTCATCCCTTGTTGCTTACATGTTTTGGTGCTCATTAATAATATCAAGATTGTGTGTTTGATCCTCAGCCAATCTCTGATTTAGAAAACAAAAGGTTAGAAAAACAATTTCTTTGCCATCATATAATAATTGTTGATGCTTGGAATGGTCGAGGACAACATTATCAATTCGCTCCTAAGCCGAAGTAGGATCGAAGTATTTGAAATGTCTGAGGTTCAAGGTGTCTGAGGCCCAAAGAGGTCGAGGTTTCTGGGACTCGAGGACTAATAGATTGGTCCTATGAGGAGATGAATGTTAGAGGTTTCCGGGTGAAAATCCGAGGTGGAGACTCCGATGGTCAAGTTAGTATTAGAAGATGTAGAGTAGACGAGGTCCGAGGTAAAAACACCTAAACAAGGCCACAAGAGAGAGTAGGAGATCTCAATTGCTAACTAGAGAGCTTAAGTTCCAATCCCTTACTTTGAGGGAACCTCCTCTTATTTATCCTTGAAACCGCCTAGAGGTAGGTGAGCTCGGACGGATCAGGTACAGTCCATATGTGGGAAACGTGGCCATTAGATGATTCCGCACCATTGGTTCCATGTGGCCTGCCGAACTCTGTCCCATGCGCACCCAAATTGGGTCTGCTCTGAGTTGCACCGCTTAACACATATAGGCCCAAGATCGGCGGGGCCATCTACACCTACATCAATAATAATAATAATAATAATAATAATAATAATAATAATAATAATAATAATAATAATAATAATAATATGACAACATATTAATATACCAATACAATATAATTAAAGTATCAGATATATCGTATCGGTATCAGAGCATCTAGATGCATGTATGGATATATCAATACAAACATATTTTCAAACTAATGAAAGCTTGGGGAAGGAATCCATGATCCTCCATCTAATTATTATAAAATAAAAATAAAAAAAAAAGTAAATCTATATGCACTGATACCCAACTTTGTGTATAGGCATATCAATATTCTGATCATTGAATATGATTTTGCTGATGTTGAACCTGCTTTGTGAATAGTTCCTAATTTTGACAAAAAAAAAATTGTACATATAATGTGAATAGTTGTTTTTAAGCCAAAAGGCAATTTCTTCATTCTATCAATTTCTGCGGCAATCCTGAGAAATTACATGGGACAAAAGTTGAGGGAATAGAGAGAAAGTACAATAATGATTTATAGATAAAGCATGCTTGGCCAGTGGGCCACTAAATTGCTTGACATGGGAGTGAATTGGACTGAGCAGCGGCAGCCAGAGACCATTAATGATATGATTGTTCTACAGTCGGCTATAATTTGTGAAATCAGCCAAGGACGATGGATCATTTCATTTCCTCCAACAGAGTCTACTCTTCTTGAAAACTACCTGCACATCTTCCTCAATAACACAATATGGGAAGCCCACCTCCTTGGTGAAACAAAGGCTTTTTACCAGCTTTAGAGCTTCCACTTCTACCACTGATCGTAAAAGTACTTTCATAATTCATGCAGATCATAAAGTTAAATCATAGTATTTAATTAGCATCATATAATAATAATAATAATAAGGTTTAAAGTATGGATACATCCGGATGTATCGATAGGGTGTATTGGTATTTTTTACTTCATGTTTTTTATTTTTTATTTTTACACATATTTTTATATTATTTAATCAATAAAAGTATGAGACTTTTAGATTACACTCCACCTCAGAATTCTGATTTGAACTTCAGACTTATAACAATTCAAAATTATAAATACCTTCACTTATAACACCCATAAGCGTCGGTGAATTAGCATCAATTCCGAATTGGCACCTACCCCTAACTGTACGGTGGAGTTAGGAATTCTGGGGTAGGCTGAACAGAAAAAATTCTTAAAAGTATTGGTTTTCTGAAAACAACTTTAAATAGATGTATCAAAACTCAAAAATGCCATATAATATATCCGATATAAGACATATTGTGTCATACTTTGAACATTAAATAATAGTAGTAGTAATTGTTGTTATTGTTGAGATGGTGGTGGTAATCTTATAAAATTAATAAAAGAAAAAAAGTTTTCTAATGATGTCAAATACAGAGCTTCTCTACAAAACTTTTCATGATTTTGTCATGTGAATAGATGGTAATTATGTGGCAAATCCAAGCCATAGATCCTATAGAAGACCTTATAGATTGATTATCTGTTCAAGGTTCAAAATATCGATAGAGAGCGATACACAGGT